TTTTCAAATAGCACCAACTCGTTCGAAATCAATTCTGTCATCGAGAACTCCAATAGTTTCTTATCCCGGTTTGCATTGAAGTTTTCATACAGTAATTGTTTATTCCTTTTGATTGCTTTCATCACGCTTTCATCATTGTTACCACCGAAAGTTTGAGCTTTTATTCCAGGTAAAAAAGAGAGACGTTTTTTTTTACGTGGGTCGTCTGCGATTGACCAGTGTTCATTGGAATTCATATTGAAACAGTTCTTCAATTCACACCGTTTGATGTGTCCCTTTATTATGGACAGCACGTTATCGTGCAACAATTTAATTTTGTTTGAAATTTCAGACTTTGACTTACCGCCATTGACAATCTGCTTGAAGAAATTACTCATTTGGCGAGCGCATATGAATAGTAACCATAGATCGTTCACCCAATCTTTTTTCGGATCTAATAACGAATTGATCATTATGTTCGCTTCTATTACGAAGGAAAATTCCTCAACTGTTTCCGACGTGATAACGTTCTCGTCGTTGCCGAAAATTGCATTGCCCGTCAATTTAAAATGAAACTGGGCGATGTAAAGATATCCGCACTCCAGTTGTTTGTACAAGTGGGTTATTCTTCTACACAATTCTGAGGGCGACTCCTTTTCTAATTGTCGACGCTCGTAATGGTTAGGTTCGTGAATGTAACCGGTAGCCAAATACTGCAAGCTTAATAATTTGTCTAAATACTCATTTTTTTCCGTCGTTTCACCGTACGACTGGTAGAGAAATTGCATTGTAAAAAATAACAAAATTACGTACCGTGATTTTAATGCTGTCATTTTGCCGCCTCTTACAGTAGCTTAATCTGTGAAATAATTAAAGACATTAACATCGAACATTTACCATCGTCGATAAAAGCAAATTACGTAGATTTTACTTACTCGGATTTGTTAATGTGACTTCCAACGCACTAATGCGACTCGATTTTTTTCCATACAAATACCATCGTTGTTTACACAAAAAATCGTACGTACGATTATAAATTATGTTTTTGAAACCTGGTATTTACAAAGTTTTTAGGTCGTACGACTTTGTTATTTCTACATCACACTGATCGATATACCTATATATTTGATCAAAATATCATCGTTGCTTACCCAAAGCTGTTTTTTAATGGGTTATGCGGTGTGTTTACAAATTATTTTAATTATTTTTCATCTCTTAAGTTGTCTATATAAAATCACATAACAATATAATAATACTATACATAAGAAAAAAACATACATATAGAAATAAAATGTACAAAAATCGAAGAAAAGTCCATACATACCCAGTATCATCCAACACAGTAATGAATTAGGTACAAAATTTGTGTACAACCTAAAAGAGATATTAAAAGGTTCGATGCGAATCTATGTACAAACCCAGCATAATAAAAGTTAATCAATGACAGATGATGACCACAAAAAATATTTTTACATTTATTATTTTTCAAACAAACATTTAGCGTTTGTATATACAGGCTGATTGTGTTATCGTGAACAACTTAATATCTCTTAGAGTTAAAAAAATTTGTTTTCTCATAAGTGTGATCTCCCCATTGTTTTTACCCCCTCCCATCTTTTTGATAGCAATTTATGAAATTGAAACTGGAACTAAAATATTTCATTATTTTTTTGAATTGAGAATATTGTTTGAAAATGTTGACTGGTCGATAATTCGTTTTAGATAACTATTTTTGAAGTTATTTAACGTTCATAAAATATATTTAACAGGGTGACTGGTCGATTACCAGTTTCGGATAACTATTTTTTAAGTAATAAGAGTATTAAATTTATGATGGGAGGGGAAGTGCGGTTGGGAGATGCGCTCAGATAAAAATAATACTACACTCCACCTTTCCTCCTGCCCTAAACTTGAAACTTCAATAACTTTAAAAATAGTTACCCGAAAGTATTTAAGTTTCAAAAGTTGCTATCAAAAAAACTGAGTTGGGAAGCGGGTAAAAAAAAAAAAAAATTGTGAAAATTTGAGATCACATTGTACTCTACTGTACTTGTCCTCTCGGATAACCGTCCGTTTTACTGCCCCAACCTGTATATTAATTTCTTGATGCTCTACATCCAAGCTAAAATGTATTTCGAAAAAGTATTGGATAACACAATTTACATGTAATCATTTTATGAAGTGGACATTTATAGCACCAGAAGAGTTAACAAAGTGTGGAAAGAACAGCAAGAAATGCAAGTCGTTTATGGTGCAATGTGTTGCTGATAGCCATTTAGAGTATTTAATGGATAATAAAACAGCAATGAACAAACTAAATAAGTCGTTATATGGTCTCAAACAAGCTCCTCGTGGTTTGGATAAAAGATTTTATTAAATTCATATAAGATCAAGGCTAAGTCTCTGATCAATATTTATACATAGAAATTAAAAGTAATGTGTGTTTGATTTTACTATTATATGTAAACGAGGTTTTACCTGTGAGTAATTTATAAAGTCAATCAATGACAGGAGTAGATGGTTAAAGAAAAAGTCAAGTTAAGATGAATAGGCTGAATCATTTGGAAAGGAGTCTGGAACATGGCCCTTTTTCACTGTTAGGTTTATGATGGATTATTATTTCAATTCCGTTTTTTACACCGCAATGGACAGAGTTTAATAAAATCAAAAGTGGTTAAGAGTATTTAATATCAACGGAAGAAATTGTTTATTTTTTAATACATTGAATTAAGGTGACAGTTTAGGTGCAAGTGCGACATATAAATAATATTAAATTAAAATAACAACATTAGGTGCAATATATTTTTTAAACAAATGCTACGAATGATGGTCAGTTTAAATTACGTACTCATACCAATCATTTATCGTTCTTAAAACATTCACATATTCATTAAGATTAGGACCTACTGGCCTTACCTCAACAATAAAGCCGACATAAGGTATGTATAGGAATCTATCGTCGTTTTGCGAAGTTAACGTACAAACATAACCAGCTTGATCAACACTAGCAGTTTTTATATATAAATCTGGGAATTCCATAGATCGGACCATAGCTATTAGACACGGCATATTTTGGTAAAGTTTGGGAATTCTGGTGTTTCTTCATCTTAAAAATTATAAAACAAATTATTTTTAAAAAAACTTGTCAATTTTAGCTTATAGGTGTATACTTTTGTTTTTTGTTAAAACACAACTAATACACGTGTATAAGCGAAAACATAAAAAAAATTGATTACCCATAAAAAACACCGTATTTTATTTAACCTATTTTGGAATGAAATTTATTAAAATACATTTAATCAAGAATAACCGACATTTGCTTCGGAACTTTTTTTTTTGAGATATTGTTATGGATTTTTTTCTTTTTTTAACTTTTATTTGTACAGTCTAATACGTATTAGAACAACAAGCTTGAGAGATGCAATAAAGGCTATAAACATTTGTGTGCTCATTAGTGTGCTAGACTTTGGAGCGTGAAAGTGTTGCTAGACAACTATGTTTATGAAGGCGACTAATTATATTAAAATGATACCAGCCTTGAAGGTTATTTTATTAGATTTTATAAAATAGTAAGATAGTTGATGTGAAATTAGAAAAAGAAGATATTATATTTCATTTTTTGTTAACAATATCGAACACATATAACAATATTGTTACGGAAATAGAAACACATTCAATTGATAAATTAACGATTGAATTCGTAAAAAGTCGACTGTTGGACAAAGAAGCGAGAAAACAAAGCACAGTGATCAAAACCTAACAGTGTTACAACTAAAATTAACATTTGTATTCGTTCTAAATCTTATGGTTGTAATAAGGTTCCCAATCTATATATCAACATAAATAAAATATACTTGAATGGAAAATACAATTTTTGGAAAATGAGTTTGCTTCTTATTTGGAGAAAAACTAAAGCTTACTGACAATCCAAGTGAGATATTTTGGTTCATTGATTCAGGCTGATCAGATAAAAAAAAATAATTCTCCTCCATAAAGCAATTAATAATCTCCCTCGACATTGGTGATGCCAAAAATGGGGAAAGTTTGATTTCGACTCGACAGCAACGATCATTTCTCAAAATGATAATTTGAACAAGACTCCTGTTGAATTGAGGACTTGGCATTAAACCGCTATAGATTAAGCAACCATTAAACAAAAACCATTTTCGTAAGCCGGGATGGTAATTTTTAATGAAAATGAATTGTTCAACTTCGACCATTGATTTAGAAAATGTTGAAATAACAGAAGAAAATATCGACGAAGAAAACATTTAAACGTATGAAGAACCTGAAAAAGATTACAGGTTGAAATGTGTACAAACTTTTAATTTATTATTTGAGTGGTAAATCGTAGTAAAGGCTTTGATCACATTGAAACGTATACGCCTGTCTTCACCATAGTGGCTGTTGGCAGATTACTAGCACTAGCAGTACACAAGAACATGAATATTATTCATGTGGACGTGACAACAGCCTTTTTGAATGGAATAATCGAAGAAGAATATAAGTGAGACATTCATAGGGCTTTGTCGATGGAGAAAACATAGTATGTAATATAAATAAATTGTTGCGTGGTCTCAAACGATCTCCACATGTTGGGATAAAATATTTAATCAAATCATAAAATATCAACCACTTGGTAGGAAATAACTCTGATCAATGTTTATACCCGAAACTTTATTAAATTAAAAAAGCACTAAGGTTACTACTGTTGTTGGTCTCATTTTCACAACAAGCGAAGGAGTAAACCATTTAAAGGGATATGTTGATACAGAAATCTCAAATAACGTCAACGATAGAAAATCCACTGTTGGGTATTTATTTAAAAGATTTAGGATCGACACTATGCTGGTCTACAAAAAATCAAACGGTAATACTTTCTTAAACCGAGACTGCATATCAGCTGGTGTTATTATAACAAGGTATGTATAAATTTAAAATGTATTATTTGCCTGGTACATCAAGTAGAACAATATTATAATTAAAAGTTATCTATTTCCAATCTACACAAAATGTTAATATTTACCTATTGCAGCGATAAGTAAATTTTTTGTAACTTTTCCACTTGTACGTCTTCTGTCTTCTCCAAGCCGTGCCAATGAATTGTTCTCAAAATCTACAAAAAAAATTAAAAAATTAGTTTGAGTGTTAAAACATTTAATTTAAAAAAAAATGGTTTATTGGCTAATAAACTAAGACTTTAGGTTTATTTACGGTTGTTATTAAATGCTTGCTTACTTTCGTTGGGACCAAGTTGAGGCACAGGAATTCCTGTATACAAATTTTTATTATTTTCCAGTAAAAAACACACATTTACCTAATCAATGTAAAAATGTATTGATTTGCGTTCTATTTCAATAGACTATCATGACTTATATCAAAAAACATAATATAGCTCTATAACTTTAAATTATTATTATAAATTTATCGAATTTGGTTAAACCTGAGTGATTATGAATTTTGAAAATTATTACAAAAAGTATGTTAAAATTTATATTTACTTGTAACTTGGGATATTGCTTTTTGCACTGCCACCTGATCAGCTATGGCAATATGTTCTGAAATACAAAAAATACTATACAATATATTTTCTCATGACAGAAATCATAATATTTTAGATTAGGAAAAATTTTAAGTTCCCATGTTAATAAAATCAAAAAAAAAAATCACGAGGTACTTAAACAAAAACCGTAATAAATGTACTTGTATAAGAAGCTGTATAAAGTATTAGTAGTAGGTGTATAAAATATATACAAATAGGTTACCTGGTAAGTTATTAATAAATGCTTCATCTAAAATTAAAACAAAAATATGTTATGAACCAATGTGCACATATGCCCAATAATTTTTTTTTATAAAAAACTTTACAATTTTGATTTCATAACAATAAGTAAATTTTAAGATACATAGAAGATTAATAACCTGAAAAACAGGCTGTTCACTAACGGCACGTCCGGATTTAATATTTTTGTAATTTGTTAAATATTAAATATATACCCATTGATTTGTTAGATTTTAAAAACAAATATTTTTTTAACTCAAGACCAATATTTTTATAGACGACGTTGGATATTGTCAGAAAAATGAAAGAGAGGACATATTTTTCAAACTAAAATTTTTCAGTAAAAATTAATATTTTCCATGATAATCTAACGAAAAAACCCGAGGTACTATCTAGATTTGAGGTACAGATCTAAAATCTAAAGGAATTATTTTTCAGATAACAATCTGTGTAAAGTATAAGTAGTATATAACAATTGATTACCATGTATTTGCTTTTTCTGAAATTAAAACGAAAATATGTTATGCCAAAATTAGTTATTAATTATTATCAAGCATCTATTTGGAAATACGTCCAAGAAGTGATAAGAAATAATATTACCCGGCATAACCAACATCAAATTAAGTGTGTCTGAAATTGTAATAATATTGATTAATAAATAATCAATTAATTAAGCTAGTAAAAAAAAAAATAATGATTACCTATCGTTATATCATCATCTTTAATAATATTTGAAATTGCATTCCCCAATCCAGTAGGATCTATAAGCAAATAGTGTTAGAGCTATATATACAATTTCAAATGAAATCATAATAATGTATTTAAATTAAAAACAATACCTTGATGCTTGTACAAATTAATTGGTATACAAACAGAGATAGTCGAAATTTTTTAAACCCTATTTTTTTAAGGAAAGACCGCGTGCAATCCACTTGAATTGTAATTTTGTATAGCTTAGTACTTTCTATGTAAATTATAGGAATTGCCTTTATGAGTATATACATAAAGTATTTGATTTTCTTTTAAAATTTAGTATTTATACAGTACAAGCTGTCCGGACCCGGGCGTTGCCCATCATTTAGTCAGCCAGGGCTGAGTAAAATAATTCTCAAATGAATCTCACCTGCATCAATAGCCTCTCTGATATATTTGGCTGTAATACATTAATTCAAACTTATATATAAACATGATAAAATAAATATAAACTGTTGTACCGTTTAAAAATTTAATACAGACCGAGTAGTGTGAACCGAATTTGCACATTCCGCTATGAGAAATAATTAAATATTGAATTTTCTATTCAGGTTTTCAAATACCTTGAAAAGGTACGTGTAAAATTTCACATAAATACCTGTCATCATTGGCGAAACGTTCGCAATGGCAAGCGTTATTAAAATGCAGAGAAGCTTCATAGTGCTGGATAATGTTAACGAAACAATTCAAAAATGAAACTTATAAGAATAATACGAATTCTAAATGCTTGTTTTACTTTTTGTGTCAAGAGTGATTTTCTAGCAACTAGTCGTAAGGTCGGTGTGTTGACTTGTCAACTAAAGAAGTAAAATCAAACATATTGTACAGTACGCGCAGCGCTATAATTATGTATAAAAAATTACGTGACACTTGATACTGAATACAAAAAAAAAATATCATTCACAGGGTGACTTTTTTTTATCGTTGGCAACCACATCTCACTGTATTTAATCAATAATTTAATATATATATTTTTTTTTTTCATAATGTTTTCATACAATATAATCACAATTTTCCGCAAATTGTTATTTATTATCCCCTTTTAAATTAGGATTGTCAGTAGCAACTTGAACCGTCAAAATTGTTAGTATGGTGTTCTCAATTTTTAAATGTAATAAAATGTATTCTTTACCATTAAAGTTTCAAAAGTTGATATGAAAGTAATCAGTTTGGGAGGAGGTAGAAACACTATCAGTACAGGGAAATTGTGGGCACATTATATGAAATAACTATGAAAAAATAATTAAATTATTAGGTAAACCCAGTGAGATATTGAGCGGCCCGTGATAAAAAAAACGACCTTGTACATATTTGTTACATTTTTTTAATTATTGCTTTTAAATTATTTTCGAATCATCTATCATTTTTTAGATGTTTGTCTACACAGATACGTTCATATTTTTTTTTATCAACTGTTCTACCATATAATTATTTTTTTAAGAAAATATATTACATTTTTAATAAAATACCGTGTACAATTTGTAGATATAGTCTACGTGTTCATTTTTACACGTTCACTATTATCACATTTAACAAATATCGTATCGACTATGTGTACCTGTGTAAATTAAAAACGTCTGGGATGACAAGAGATTAAAGTAGTATTTTACCAAAGTGTCGAAAAAAAGCTTTTTAATTAAATATATTGATGTTTGTTTTTGGTAAAAACTGCTGCTCTGTATAGTACCTTTCTTATAAAGATTTTAAAACGTTTAACACTGTTTTAATACTAATTTAATTACACAAATAATTACCACTAATAATTATTGTCTATGATTAGTCAAACCAATTATATTTACAAAATACATGCTAACTTATATCTCCGTGCTAAAATTCCAACCTATTGTGAAAAAAATTTAGCGTTTCAATATTTGTTTAAGTAATGTTTCTTTAAAACCAAATACTGAATAGCCTTGTACGTATGGCAAAAAAAAAAAGAATAAAAAAATTTCAACGTTTTGGCAAAAAATAATGCACTTTTATTAGTGCACGGTTATAACAGTCGTTGCCACAAAACTTGACACAGATGCCGCAGCGTAAAAATGTAAAGCCCTAAATCACTCCCTGAATTTTCTGTATTGTATGATATTTTTTTTTGTCTATTATGCCTTATTGAAGCATTGTTTATTTTTATAAAATTTATTATAATAATAACAGTAATACACTTGCTGATAAACGCTGCTGCCATGCCGCTGTGTCAAATTATCTGGCAACGACTGTACACAGATATTTGCATTTAAACCGTAAGACAGGTTTCACGTAAATAATATGAATTATAAGAATCGAAAAAACAACCATTAACTGTAATTAATTAGCACCGTTTTTGACTAATCAACAACTATAGGATATGGTTGCTGTAATTCATTTGCTCCTCTGAGATTCTCTGAACTACTACAAACGTCAAATGTCTGTTCTTGGACAGGTAGTTCTCTATTAGTCGGTTTTTGGACGTATGCAAAATGTGCGGAAAAAAATTATACCTCGTAATATATAAATAATCGATATATCGCAAAATCGTATTTGTGTTATCTTATTTGTTAGTTATTTGGCAAGAAAACTGCTGGAAGCAACAAGTGTTTTTTTTTGTGACGCTTAACATACAAAATTCCTGGGCGGAGTTAGGTGTATTAAATAGTTTGCAATATTTTATTGAATATACATTTATTTGTTAATAATTTTTTATATTACCACGACCAAAATGAAAATTACCTCTAGGTGTATTATTAATAAAATATGCCTTAATTTTAATACGAACAATTGTTTTTATGATTATATAATATATATATTATAAGAGACAATCATGTAATGTAAATCTTAGCTTACACATGTATTATCTTAAATACAAAATATCGTTAAAATAATCATCTCGTTTAAATCATCAGGCTTTGGTTGAAATTTTTCGTCAATCATTTGTAAAAATGATTGCACCAACCTTATTGAACGTTTTCCAATCTCCTTATCAATTTTCTCGACAAATCGCGTGCCTACTTCAAGAATGTGTTTTAAGGGTTTAGACTGGTCGCTTTCGGTCACTGTCGATTTAATTTCGGGTAATTAATTTTTTATTGAGATTTTCAGAATTAACCTATTTATGTGTTTTTTTAATAAGTGACAAATCTATAAATGTAGGCTTAAAAACATGATACGCTTCAGAACTCTTAGGGTGTCTAAAGTTACTTAAAAATGTCCATTCGTTTTTCATCGCAATTAAGTCAACGGACTTGTCTATAGAGTATATCAATTTGGGATTAGCGTATTCTATATCCCTAATCAAAACGGTATACGATAATATTATTTGCAACATTATTATTTTCAATGTGCCGATTACCCTATTCTGGTACTCTCCAAGTAATCTGATTCCCGTCCAT